ATTCTACTTATCAGTCCTAATCATAAAATAATATTCGTCGAACATTTTAGGAATACTTTCATTATATTATTATTTCGAAACGCAGTAGCTAGCAAGAAACGTGTGAATGGACTTTATTCAATACTCGGAATTAAAAAAAACACAATGGCATGCAATGAACTTTACCGTGTATTAAGAAAGCTGGTAGCGATAAAATATATAATAGTGGATTGATCAGGTTTAGGTAAAAATATCGCTGACACTTATTTAGAGTCTGTCGAATGGAGTGGTCCTGAACGTTGAGATTGTCCTTTCGATAACCCAAAAGACCTACATCGATAGGTAGGATTCGTAGTTGCCCAAGTGGAACAGTACCTAGTGTGTTTCTTTCTTATTGAGTCAGCAACAGCATGAAAGAAGTGACCTAAAAACTGTATTCGTTAAAAGTCAGCTATTACGTGCAATTCTTTTTGAAAGAAGTGGCGAACAAATACTGGTACTTTGTGAATGTCCTTGAATGAGTAACGTAACTGCCTGCAGACGCAACTACAATGCAACTACTAGCGTAATCCTCTGTCTTTTGAGTCAAACTTGAAACAGATTCATCTGAATAGAGTTCATTCGAATTCGAATTCACTAGCATAATGAACGTGACTATCAGAGTTCTCACAGCTGTCCAACAATTCAATATGATACGGGGATATTATCATCTGCATACTTAAAGCCTATCAGTCTCTGAAGGCAAGAAACTAATTCTCGAAGATTAGGCCTGCAGTGACCAATTTTGATCGGTTATTAAAACTAAAAAATGTGTCAGTATAAAAGAGGCTGGATAAATATACTGAGAACTAACCTTCCATCGGTGTCCACAATTGTTACAATAGACAAAAGTTGTCATCGGTTCATCAGCACTACGAGTTTGGACCTACAGAAAAAAGAAAATGCATGCACATTTCTTAAAAATGTTTTAGAAAAAGTGATTACATTTCATATAGGCCAACTAGGCATACCCACTAAGCTATGGTTCCTTTGACTTAGGTAGTTGACTTTCAATGAATTAAAAGTCAAAACTTCGCTTCAACTATATTAATATAGGGAGTAAAACGTGGACACTGTGATAGATTGTAATTTTATTTTTGTCTACTTATTAGAAATGTCTCATAGTGAAACTGTAATTATTTACTGGATAACGTTTCGAACATAATTTATCATCTATATTCATATGAATATGTCATACAATACCATTCAATCGAATAAAACTGTTGCTCATATTGACTGAAAGAAACTCAAAATAATATGAATAGAACCCATACAACTAATTAATTAAGAGTAGGACCAATGTCATGAGACAAATGTACATTAGACTGACCTAATGTCTGACATATCAATTATACATGATACCAGGTGAGAAAATAGGCAAGATAAATTAGTAGGAAGAATAAATAACGAAATCTCTAGCACGATAAATACACAAAACAGACAGATAAACCAAAGAAACTTGGACAGAAGTGCAAAGCATGTAAAGAGAAAATACATTAAAAAACTGGGGATTCCACCTCATTGTATAAATAACAAAAGATCATATATATAATAATAGCCCAACTTGCTACGTTTTACTTCATTATAGGTGATAGTCAACAAGAAAAACAAAGTGAAGACAGTAACTTCAGCAAATATGAAGATGAAAGGATAGATAAAGTAAAAGAAGAGAATAGTATTATACGAAAAACGGTTTATGTGTAAACAATACACGGATGAATTCATGTCACTCTGGTTGACTCTGCGCAATATTATCTGGAGTCGGTTTGGTTACCTGGAAGCCCACATCCTCTCATACAACTTAAGTGAACAAATCAGACACCTAATGAACTGATGCCATGGTTATCATTAGTTTTTACCAACCTGGTTTTACCTCGGCTAACATGGTGTGTTGAGGTAGACGACGGCTCCGTATGCACATCCAAATGTAAATTAATTCTCTAGGATTTGTCTTCAGTGGTGCTTTGTTCAACAGTAGGGAGTGAAATGGTTGAGCGCGTTGACCACTTCACTTACCTAGAAAGTCAGATCAACCCTGGTGGGTTATTGACTGACGAAATATTCGCAAGGATACAAAATGCTCGTTTGGCTTTAGGCAAATTACACCGTGTGTAGGGCCGCTGCGATATCCAACTACCCACTAAGAGTCGAGTGTAATGCGCTGTATTTCACTGTCTTACGATATGCTTGAGAAACATGACCATTCAAGGTGAAGATCAAAAGACTGAAGGTTTATGACTACCATCGCCTTCATGATGTGACGTGTCATGATGTCACTACATCAGCTATGTATAAATCAGGTGTCGAGTAATAAGGAGAAGAGGAAAGTCAGTCGAGTTTTTGGACCTTCATCGACTCATATGGCTGAGACATGTTACACGTGCCTATTCACCGTCTGCATCGTCCCATAATGTTAGCCGAAGTAGGTTCAGGCTGAAAAGAGGTTAGAAGCAACCAGACGTCAACATGACAACAGATAATGAAGTTTCATCTATTAGTCTGAGCTGTTTAGAGAAATGTAGATTTCAATGTTGGGGTATGAGAGAAAACTGAAGTTGATGCTTACAGACTTTGAGTGATATGGCTCAGAACCGATGTCAGTGTGCAGATGTATCCATCCATCATCTACGTCTTGTCATACTGAATTTCAGTATTGTCTCATCCCTTCTTGCTCTCTTTTGACGACTTTCTACCACTTTTGATTGCTCCCTTCATTCCTTTTATATTGATACATTCTCTCTTGATGTGTTGATATGAGATGTGGTACCTTGGACCGCTAGGCAGTAATGCCAGGTCCAAGCGATCTAAGCTACTGTAGTTTCGCAGTTTTATTACATGACTTGCTTCATTTACCCAGGACTCTGAATTGCTTACATGATTTTACCGCACCAAGATGCCAGGAAGACAATCAGCAGTTAAGTATCTAGCCTTCACAAAACCTTCTACTTTGGTCGCCGTCTGTATAACTGTATAGCTGAAGTACAGTTAATCGAAAATATAATAACCACATAAAGTGCATTTTGACATATTGTTGTGAAATACACTGTCGATTTTTTTTAGACAACTAATAACCGCAGTGAAACAAGCATGATCAGAACAAAAATTATTTCAAGAGAACTAACCTGATTATATGTACACTTAGTTTGTTTACACTTTCCACATCGTAACAAATCTGTTTCTGTTCCACCAGTAACAGCCATTTGATGATCTTCTATTGTTTCTTTAGTGTATTTTTCACGGAGTTCTTTCATTTCTTTACTCGCCATTTCCTACAATAATAAAAGATAAGTTCCAAAAGACGGTTATATACCATAATAACATGCAAATAACACTAGATAATATCGGTTATCAGTAAGTGAATGGAGTAATAATACTAGGGAGAACCGTGTGATTACCTACAAACCTAAAAAAAGACTGGTGCAAAATCTCATCCACCTACTGCAGCTTGGACTATTTCATTAATAGCATACCATTTAAGCAACAGATGTTTCCCAGTCTATTGATTAACGTGTATCCCAAAGTCATTTTTAAGGATGATTAGATTGTTAAGGAAGATATGTTACACTCGGTGTTTTATCAACCTGTTTACATCACACTAACAATCATCAGGGTATCAGTCTGTTACCAGTTGTGCCGCAAATACTAGCTGCTATGATACTTCACATAATGTACAGAGCAATTGAAGAAACAATTCATGTGAAGCAGATTGAATTTCGGTTAGGTTGATGATGCGTTGAACATGTTCTCTCATCCTCTGTCACATGCTCCAATACCTTCCGAAGTATTGCAGGTTAAAATCGTTCCATCTTTTAATTATAGGATTCCTACCAATTCATTTGTAAAAATTTGGTTTAATGGCTTAAGCTTTCGAGAGTTCAAATCCAGCTCTAAGTTAAAAGATAGTATCGCAGTTCCGTACATCAATACAGTTCAAAGACAGATAAACGTAGAACTTATCTGCAACAGAATTACGTTGACCCAATTAGTCTGGATGGGAATGCGGAAATCTGCTGGCTTGGCGTAGTAAAATTAGTATCTTGTTCAGTTGAACTTTGTATTTTTGATGAATTCAGTAGGATCCTACTTTAGATTAACCGTTGGAGAGGAATATCTCCCGCAAAACCCATTAACATTTAGATAGGTAGAGAAGCAAATCAACGAAGAACCTAGAACAAAAGTGTACCGACTCCAGCTTCCATACTTCAAAATAAATCATAAGAGACAACTTTTAAACAGAAAGATAATGATATTAGGTCGATATATATATGAGAATGACATTAATGAAGGTAAATGAAATGGTACCAAATTTCAGATATGTTAAGAGTGACTGGTTTTGAGTAATATCAGCAAGTCTTCAACTACTAGTTTCTAACCCCTTGAAGACCTCGCAACAAGAAAGACAGAACAACTGAAGCCAATGGTCAGAAACTTCATGGATGTATCACTGACTTGCTTTGGTCACTTTTAGTTTTTCCCCCCTATAATCCTACTTTAGCTTACATTGCTTGTCGAGAAAGCGGGTAAGTTAGTGAATCCAAACCTGCCGATGAAAGTTGGCCTAAAATTCTGAATGTACTGAATCTTCAGCAATCGTGTGCCCCACCAAAGAGTTAAGCAAACCACCTGATTCGTAATGTGCCCATCCACTGACAGGCAGTCATCGGGACTCAATATGGTTGATTGGCAAACATTAGAGAGGCTTTTAGAATGTCAATGAAGATTCTGCCTGCAAGCAGTGGATTACGACCAACGACGATATCCTAATACGTGCGGTGGTTAACGTAGTGCACCACTTCACTGTCTATCGTCAAGCTACAAAGAAAAGCCGTAACATAATTTAACATTTGACCAGTAGGACTCACGCGGAACAAGTGAGATCTTTAAACACTCAGGGTTGTGTACAAAAGGAAGCTTTACAAGCATTTAAGGTCAACAACACAATGTCCAGATAATAAATCGATCCACGAATTGAAGAGGGTTACTTGCAAAAACAATAAGGTTTAACAACAAAAATAATCAGTAGTGCATAACTTCGGGTGCACACTACTGGTTTTTATCCCCCTAGTTGGCAACTTTACCCTAGTTATTCAGGATATTGTCGAAATCGCTTCGAGGGCCTACGGTGGTGGAGCAGATTTGTTACCAAGAGAAGGAGACTTCTAAAATATTACTCAAGAGTGATGCCACATACAGAATACTACTACTGCACCGAATCACATGTGTTAGTCATTCTTGCTTCTTCATCGGTTATTCAAAACCCAAGTTACATACACAATGTACAACATACAGTACAAGTATGAAAAAATTCATGCAAAAAGGCAAAGGAGAAAAGAGGAGCCAAAAAAGAAATCAGTTGCGAAAAAGACGAAAAACTTTGAAGAGAAGCAGTATCAAAGACAAAAGAATTAAACCTAAATGACCACGATAGGATCTAGTTGATACCAGGATTGAACTGGTGAGTGACGACACCAGGTAACATAGTGTTGAAGGTCTTTCTGGGAGTCAATGCTGACTGAAAACAGGTTATGGTCTGCTCGAAGCTGTAGAAGACATCCTCTATTGTTCGATCTGTAACCGACTTATCATCACTGACCACCTACACAACACTGATCTGAACCTAGACCTCCGCATTCAATTCCTCACCTAGCAGTACGATTTGCAATGATGGACGTTTACCGTTAACTGAATCAGTGCTACAATCAGTCGGGATTCAGGCAGAGATTACGAAGAGACGAAGTTTACCTCGTCAGTTACTTCTCACTCTAATCAAACTTTCTAGTCTAATAGCTCACAGCCAACAGTTGGTGGGGACACAGTCAATCAGTGCAACTTCGACTCTGGTTATCAGTGCGACACCAACACAAAAAGGCTGGATACCGATGCTACAGGATCACCGGATACACATACAGTTTAGCTGACATATGGAAGAGCCATTCGAAGCACCTCACTGGAAATGTGTATGCAGGACTCAGAGATGCAACATTCGTCAACAGTGAGGATTTGCAGGGTCAAAGTGGAACCAGTCTGTTGTCCAGTTTGCATTAGACTTTGAACGTTGAAGACTGAAAGCTGAAACGGTGTGTATGATTTCAGGATATTTGGATCAGATGATACATGATGAGACAGCTTTACGGAGGCAACTGTTTAGCAACCGAGGAAGATGCTGACAGACTAGAATTTTAATCCATGACAAGGATGCAAATAAAGATAGATTTGAAAATAATAACGGAAGGACAGCACATTTCAGATGTAAAAATAATGATATGATGAGAAGAAATGGGATGGTTGAGTAGAAGGTTCATTAGACACTGAATTTTGTTTTTGTAAGAGACATTTTGAAATGGAAAACAATGCAAACAATTAAAAAGAGAAACAACAATAAAATGATAGGAAATTCGAAGTTCTAATATAAATTTCGTAGTACAATGAAATCGACCCATGTTATTCTGCTAAAACTGTTTTTGTTCCATTTAAATTTAAGGGAAAGGATAGGACGGGACATAGTTAGTGATTAGTGTGAGCTTAGGACAATCGAAAGAAAAAGTGCTTCCACAAAACTGACATAAGTCGTACCTGCACCTAACCTTTCCTTGGCAACCTTGTGTACACTCGTCCAGTAAGCAATGAGCAACACCTATTGCCCAAGGGCTAATGGTACTACTTGGCCCCCAAACCTCAGTAGGCAAGGGCGGTGTTCGAACCCGTGATCCAGTGGTTGAAAGTCAACTCTAAACCACTGAGCAGCAAACTTGGCGGTGAGTCGTCAGAAAACGTCGGAAAGTTTGTGTATTGTAGCAGATATGTGGGTGCTGGTGGAGGTGACCGATGAGATCTCCACCGGTACGTCAGAAAGTCAGGGTAACCTTCAGTGAAATCATGATGTTTACCTAGCTATAAAAGCTGGGTATACTACGCGTCAGTGCGATTAGTTCGGCTCTAAGTCTGTGAAAACTGGACTTCAGGCTGATCTCCGATGACTCAGTGTTTTTGATCACCGTTTTCTAAGATTGCTCGCATCTAGTGGTAACACCACATAAGTAATTTAAAGGTGGGGTGGCGTATCTGGGCGTGATTAAAGCCATCACTCGATAAATTAGGTCATTTTGAAACACCGGCTTTGGTGACCTGGACATGCGTTCCGTAAGTTATTGCAGTGGCTGGCACACCCCTTAATGTCGGCTTACCCTCTAGCTACTTGGAAGACGTGGAAATTTGGCCTGTGCATCGAGTGGCGCCGTAGTCGGTCATGAAAATCTGTGGCTTGAGACGATACTACTATGACTCAGAATCGAAACCGATGGTTATCAAGTCGCGCTTTTCTTGTTTCTGATACCATTGATAAGTGAAACGAAAGGAGTGCTTCTAATGTTCCTCTTAGATCGCTTATCAAAGAATACTCGTTATTGTTTACCCAATTTCTCCCTCTTTCGGTACTACGTTTTTGTCTTCTTATTGTCGTTACATCATTTCGCATTGCGCATGTCTTTTTTTTTGATACAAAACAGGTACAAGAAAGAATTCGATGACGAAATCCATATTCCCACTCACCGACTGACAAGTCAACGTAGAACTCCGCACAGAAGTGCAGCACCTTAAGTTGCTACACCTCACAATAGTACACAAAGAATAGGTAGATGGAAAAGGAATGATTTCAGATAAGATAAAGTAATATGAGAGGATAACAAACCTGAGGATAAATATAAGTGTGAATATTCAAGCTTCAGAAGACGTCAAAAAGGAATACATCTGCACCATTGTGATCAATTTTCAACCATATCACCAAGAGTCCTCAACCACTGATTCCCATCGTCTCGCTGACCCCACCCCAGCCATCCAGTTACTCCACATCTACCCACATGCCTCGGACAAACAGTCAGAGACATTTTATCGACCGGTGTCACGTCTCAGTCTGGCCACTCTGAACCCTATTCAAAACTAATTCAGCTTCCCCCAACATGGCATATCGAGGTAGGCAGCAGCTCGCTTAGCATGTGCAGTACATGTCCAAGCCACCTCAGTCATAATCTCATCAATCAACTTGACGGTCTTCTTTGCCTGGTACCCTTCGCCTGACTTCAACATAGACCACACAGTGACTCCACCAGATGCGAGTAATCCTACTGAGTCACAACCCTGTGTAATCACCTCATGTCTTCTTCGTTCAATGACAATGTCTTACAGCCGCAGGGAAGGAGAGAAGGGGCTGAAGAGCATTATACGCGTCCTTTGATAGATAGTCGGATATCTCACAGGTCTGTGCCACACATGA